ATAGGGAAAGCTGAACAGAACGCTTTAAATTGCAAAAGCTTTCGCCCTTCAGTCGCTCGGTTTTCCATTTTCCTCCGTAGGGAAACTTTGCCAGCAAAAGGCACAACGCTCATAACAATGAAACTTTGCACGCTTGGCAATTATGTGAGTGGGCCAATGCACACACATATGACCTCATATCCTTTGGCAAATTAACCCACTTCTGCTCAGCCATCCAATGTTTTCTTAGCTGCGTCTGCAGATGTACAATTTTCATTACGTTTTGTCGAGAGTGTTTTTACTTTTCCTTCCAACTTTGGGAACTCTGTATCGTTAGACTCTCGACCTATTCGCCAACTTTTGTTTATTTTCCATCGAGCTTGACCAGGACTTAGTCCAGAATGAGCACTCCTTTGATCGGTTTTTCTTCGCACTCCTGGCAAAGTGCATTTCTGTGTTGAGTAAATTTATGTTTCACATATTTCTGCTTTACCGCTGGCTCGGTCAGCATGTAATATGCAAAGGAATTCCTGCACGCAAATGCATTAGGGTTTTTATTTCTGCCATGAATATGCAACTTGTGCGACGGTCACTCAAGAAAAATTTACATTTTTCCTGCCGAAACTGCTGCTTGGCATGAGCGGTAATAAAAGCAACAAACACAAGGGGCTCTGTCCTCAACTGGTGGCTCATTAAAATGCTTTTGAGCCACCAAAGTCAAGTTGCTAATGGTGCGCCCTCAAACGCGTGAAAAGCTGGTAAAAGTTGCTAATGCGTTGGTTCGTCAAAAGCTTGCCACGAATTTTCCTCTTCGCAAGTCCAAGTGAAGGAGTGACCAAAGTCAGCGATTCGCACGACTGAGCGCCAACCAAATTACATTGGCCATAAAAAGTGAGCCAGAAAGCGGAGTGTGTGTCTTTGTTAACTGCTGCATTTCGCGGCTATTAAAATGTTGTGTGTTGCCAGCCACAGATAATGAGCGCACACAAAAACCCTTCAGCGTTAACTGAAAATGAGACCAAGAGATTAGCAGTAAATTAAGCAAGTACAAAAAGGGCTTTTAAAAGTATGCATTAATTGGATGAGTTTGAATTGAATTTGTAAAAACAGTTGTAACTTTTTTACTATGCCCAACTCTTTTTTAAATGTAACCTAAAATAAGATTTCTTAATTTACATTTTCGACTATCGAATGATTTCTGTTCTTTAAGAAAAGTTTTTACGCCCAAGCACAAAACAATTATATATAATAATGAAATCATATTCAAATAATCTTGAATTGCGAATGGCCTGTTCTCTACTTGGAAACTTTTCAAAGCCCTTCCTGCTTTAATACAATTGCATCTTACACCCGACCAACTAGAAGTTTTTGACCAGCAAAAGGATTGCAGCAAGATAGTTCTTAATACGTCCCTTCGGAACAATCCGTCTTGTCCTTGTCCGCGTTCGTGTCCTTCTCCCAATGCGTAAATGCCTAATGAAACGCGTCGCAGCCGAAAAGCGCAAAATGAGCTCCCCGTTTAGCAAAGGACAACCCATTTCCCACCTCCAGCCTTTTTCAATGGGAAAAGCCCTACAAGGCAGACGACAAGCTGAACTAAGGCGAGGACAATAACGACAGCGACAAGGACAACGGAGGAGCAAGGATGCAAGGAGCTGGGACGCAGCCGACCAGTGGCAATAATTTAATTTAATGTGTTTGCATGCAGCGACAACAAGAACAACCTTAACCACCGAGGAGGATGCCGCTCTGGGGCCCCAAGATAACTCACAATTTGTGGCCGCTGCAACGCGCGACTTGCAACGCACATCTTGCAACGCGGCAAGGTCGAAATTTATGGCGCCTTCCGCTTGCGATATTCCCCGGCATTTGGGGGCGGAAAATTCATGCTGAAATTATTAGTGTAAACATTTTGCATTTAATTAATAATGCGAACAGCCAAACCGCGCTGACAGCCGTGGCCACAAAAGTATCCAACATCATGGGGCCAACTTTGTCGCCAGTAATGCGATAATAATGAGGCATCGACTGAAGTGGCGTTGCAAGCTTATTTCTAAATTTATTTATTCGAGTGCAATCTAATTATAGATGCAAAGCCATCAATAAATTAGATATTAAAGCTTATACACCTACATTTTTCTTTGAAAACATGCATTTGGCTGTACAAAATTACATTTAACTTCAAGGGGAGAACGGGCAAGTGCCTCGACTATCAGGTACCAATTACTAAGCTGAACCGAGTGCGAGGGAGGCGGAGATAGGCAAGCAACAAAGCTGCTGTGGCCACTTCAACTTCTTATTAAAACAAGTGGCCCAAAGTGCCAAGATCTTGACATTAATATGATATCTTATTAAATCGCTGTTTTAAAGGATTCCTTTAACCTGTTACATGCCTTTCAATATACTCTTTTAATCAACGCGTAACCAGCATAGGAATATATTATGCTCCTTAAAGTTATTTTAAAAGTTTACCCAAAAGAGGTCCTAATTGCCCTCGGCTTAAATCACCGAAAATCCCTAGCTCCGAATTCGCTATTTATTTTGCTTTTTTTGGATTTTTTTTTGTGGAAATGTATAAATGGTCTGCACATTTCTAGACATCATAGTATAAAGCCCAATAAATATGAGACAACAACAAGCAAGCGAATGAAAATCAAAGTAAGCTTTCTGCCAGAAGCAGAGCAGAGCCAACTTGAAGAAGGGGATTTTTGTAAATGGAAAGGAGAAAAGATAGCTAAATGCGGAGTAATGAGCATAAAAATGCTAACAGAACCACAAGGAAAGAAAGGTGAGGGGGTTGCGAGTAGGTGCCAAGACGACCGTAAATCTTTTTGTGGCGCTTTCAAGGTAAAATAACAATTTAAGTTTATTACTCGGATAAGAGACAGCAGTAAGAAAAACTTCCCCCCGAAGGGAGGGACGGGAAAGCGTAGGGGCACAACACTGACTGACCACTCAGGGGCTGCTCGGCTGCTTGGCTGCTTGGCTGCTGGGAAAACCCCGCACAAATCTATGATATATGACAGAGAGAAATGTGCGTCGGTTGCCAGGACAGCTGCGAGGATTTGTTCGTCCTTGCTTTCAGCTTTTATTTCACTCGGCGCACACACACAGAAAGTTTCCTCCGCCCAAGAGTGGAGGGCGTAAAATAAAGCAATGATGACGACACGGGGCGGCAAAATGTTGAGGAAGTCTGCCAGTCGCTCTTTTATGTAGATTGTCACAGTTGTTGCTCGCTCTTATTTCGTGGTAACTTTTTTACAAATCTCCAAGATTGTCCTTTATGACGGCACCATACAAAATTAACAGGGCAACTACCGTGGGAAGTTGGCCCAAACAAGCGAGCGACGGAGGAGTGGCTGGGTTTCCTTTTAGGGACTTCCAAAAATTACTGTATCCTGGATCTTGGCGAGGAACTGGGTTTCCGTATGACTGCCTAAGTAATTATTTTGACAAACTTGTCGCCTTCAGGCTAATTTTATTGCCCTCCACTTTTAATTCATCACGGCTTTCCATAGACTTGCGTCATGAAATTATACACAGAGTAAAATGTTGGTTGCTTGGTTTGTAATGGTTATTCTTTAAGATAACTTATTGTTGGTTTGTAATGGATATTTTTTAATATAACTTATTGAAGGATACTTAAGTTAAAACAAATAACGCATACGAAAGGAACCAAATTTGACCAACCTGGCAGTTATGTATATATCATAATGTCTAATAGTTCGCTGTGTAGTTTATGGAAAAAATTGTTATTGGTGAACCACTGTACACTTGCCGGTTTTTTGTGAAATTTTCGTAGTTTTAAGGCACGAGTACGTAACGGATATGAAATATTCCAGACTGGAGACACCTGTGCGTTGGATACCACCCAATTGGCCAGCTCCGAATTGCGTGGAGTGAAGCGGTGTAAAGTGGAGTGGAGTGGATTGGAGTGAACTGAAGGACAGTGGCGTGGGCCAAACATGTGCGCCACTTAATGGCCAAAAGCAGTCGAAGGAAGTGGAGCAGCAGACGGCTACTGGATGGCCCTGCCACTTTGACAGAGTGGTCCATGGACACGGAGCGCCCCAGATCCTTACCTTTTCCGCCCGCTGGCAAATCACAATTCGATTGTCTCTACGTGTCACTTACAGGACACGGGGCTGCATTTAGGCAGCATCCCTCCATTATACAATGAAGGTGCCACCTCCCAATTTTTCCAGCCATTTTCACCAGCCACTACCCTCGGGCAAACAAAGCAGTTAATGGCTTGCAAGTTGAAACAACGCCGGTTTGTGTGTTGGTGTGTCGGTGTCAGTGGGGGAATGTCGACCTGCTCCTTTGATTTCCAGGGCCTTATATCAGTTTTAATGTCCTGGTTTTTGGACACTGCCCGCCGCCATGGCTGCCATTCGTGTGGTTTAATTAGCGCTGTCTGCCAGTCAACCATGAGCGCAAATTTGTACATTGGCCACAGTTGAGCGTTTAGGCCAGCTTTTCATTTGCCCGGCAAATCGGTGCTAGAGTGTCGGACTTCGAGTTCATTGATTGGCTTTCTAGCCAACCGTGATTAGGTATTCTCTGCTCTTCAATGTACGTTGATCATGATGTCAGAGGGTCTGCATTTACTAATTACTACTTTCTCCACTGCAAAAATTTTACACTTTAAATAACACTTTATTTAACCATTTAAAACATACATGCATATATACGTATAAGCTGCGAAGTTTCTGTGAAATGTATCAACCTAAATTATCAAAATGTAAACGTGTATCTCAATACTTCTGAACTGCTTCCAAATATATTTCTATTCAAGCCAAGCCATTTAAAATAGTAAACAAAATCAAGTCGAAAGCTACGAAAAGCTCTCTCCCAGTAAATGTCCTTTTCAGCGCGCTGAATGTGGATGCAAAGCTCTCGGAACTTCTCTTTCGCGTGCCAGTCTCTCTTAAGCCAAAGCTCGCCCCAGAAAGCTCCCGCAGGGATGCTGTAATGGCAGAAGCTCGCTGCCAACATCCTCGGATCTCTGCCGCCACTCCGGGCAGCTTCGTTCGCTCCCCGATTTTTTCGTCCTGGCCTCGTCGGTTCTGGCCTGATGTTGTAGTAGGTCTGGCCAACGTGGAAAGGCTGGCTAGTTAACCACGCCGATTCAGTCAAGCTCCAGCATCCGTTCACTGAGGCGGCTCGATGGTGCAACGCTCACCGAAAAATCCCATAGACGAGCAACGCGTTCGGTCGGTTGTTTGTGTGTGTCAGTGGGTGAACAGTGCGTATGAGCGATTTTCGGTGGCACTGAAGATGGCCCAAAACGAACCGGTGGACCTTAAAGTTGTTGGGTAAACAACGGAAAGTCGGTTAAGCGTGGCGAGTAACGGGTTGCGGATTGAATAAACAAGGCCAAGAGCGAATGGAATGTGCACAAACTGCAGAAAAAACCAAGAAAATTTAACACAAATATTCAACAAAAAAACACGTCAAAAATGTAAGCTCAGCTAAATTGTGTTTTCAAAAACTAAGGCCTTCAATAGAAGAATTATACCAAATACCTTTCATATAAACGAAAACCCAATAGATTGCATACATTAATATCGAAATTTGTACATTTGTATTAAAAAAAAAAAAAAACAATAAAAAGAAAGCAAGTCTAATACAGATAAATTGAATGGAATAACTAAAAAAAAAGTGAAATTCCAGACAATTGTTTAAAATAGTTCGCAATGATATATTTGATATTTTATTTTATGTTTTAAGCGATAATGGAAAAAAAAAAATTATTTACTGATCAGCAAAGTCTTTAAAGACAAAATTTGAATTGAAAAATCAAACCAATAACTCACGCAATACAAATGAGCAAACAAATTTCAAACCAAGCACAATACTTGTCACAAATCGGAGCTACGAACTGTACACTAATAGTTTTCAGTTTTCGGTGCCGAATACTACTGATAAATGGTGAAACATCTTACTTCGGCACCGAATTTTGTTCGATTTTCAAGTAACCGAATAGGTGGCATAGTTTTTGCGCTACATGCGAGCTAAGGCCATAAAAACATATTGGCAACATTTCAAACTCTCCAAAGTTCTTTTACCTTTGGCCCAGTGAAAGACCCAAAACAACAGCACACAAACAGGCAAACAAACGAACTGACTGGCAAACAAAAACCATTTCGTCCAATAAATCATTGAGGAAAAGCAGGAAAACTTGTGAGGAAGAGGAAACTTTTTGTTTCATATATTTTTTGGTAAACGGCACAGTGAACGGCAAAAGTTGAGAAAGTCATACGAATCAGTTTTGGGAAGCCGGAAAACCTGACGTTTGAGCAAAGATATTGGATTTTATGAAAAACTATTTGCCTCAAAATTTGCAAAATTTGCATCGATTTCTGAGTGCTGTAATTGATGTGCATTTCAGATTGGCCAGTTTTCTGGAAAGCAGGCTTCATTTGCCATTCAATCTCCAGGGATAAATCAAGTCGCAGGTCCGTTTACCTAATCGCAACACATTCTCAAAGCCATCTGGCCCAAAATCACAAATGGCCAGCAGACAGCAGACGCCCTCCAGGATATTTGAACTGGCCTCTAAAAATTCTCGGGAACCGTCTCTCTCATCAACTTAAATTGTGGGAAATTAATCAAGTTGAAAAGGTTTCTTCTGGCCGGCCTGCGAAGACACCACAAAAGATTGCGCCTCGGGTTTCTGGGCAGCTCGGTTCGCCCTTTGTTTTCTGTTATTGTTATGGCCTCCAAAGTCTGGCTCTGACTCACAAGACAAGTCAACATGCGAAGGGCGAACCTTTTTGGCGCTGCCAAAAAACCTTAGCTTTGCATTCATGCGGAAATTAAAGCAATTGCACAGAGAGAAAGTCGGTGGAACTGAGAGATTCCAATTCAATAATAATTTTCCTTTGAAATTGTTAAACATTTCTACCGGCACACTTTTTAAGTTCTTTGTTTTTCCTTGCGTAAAATATAATTTTGATTCGTTGACACGGTAACGTTATATAACACTCTAAAAATAGCAGTGGATACCGATGGCAGTTTCTTTATGTGTGCCTTACAAGGCAGTGAAAGCAAAAAGCCGTTGGCGATTTTCCCCACACTGCTCAAATTGAAAGTGTGTTCCTCAAAGCCAGGAGCCATCAGCTCGTGCACAAACACACAAACACACGCACAGGCAAAGGACACGTGTAACACTTTCTGTAAAGAAGAAAAAAGGACCTTAAAGCGAGCCTTAAACGCACGCCACAGTTTCAGTTTTTCGCCTTTCTGGGTCAACGCCTGGTTGACATTTTAGCCCGGGTGCAGAGTTCATGGAAACCCTTTTTTAATTAATACAGTCTGTGCAGCAGCAGCAGCAGCAGCAGCCCCTCTCCAGTGGAAACCTCATTAAAATGCGTTCGAAAATGAGACCGCACACTCCGAACATTTTGTGTTTGTGCAGCTCTTTAGCTGCGACGGCTTTAAAAGCACGAATTCATAAAGCGACAGTTGATGGGTTTTTATAGTCAGTTAGGTTTTTTATGGCGCCTCCCTTCCCACAGGTATTTGATATAATTTAATTAATTAGCGCGCTAGATAATTGGTCACCGGCTCTTAAAGGCTGATGCAATATGTAGGCTCATTAGCTGATTTGCCCGAGAAAAGGCTCAATAGCTTATTCGAGCATTTTCAGATTATATTTAAGCACACTGTGTGCAACCTGAAATAGTCAAAGTGCCACTCATCAAGTGAGCGATTCTCATTAATGAAACAAACGTAAGCTTAAAATACACGTGCATGTGCCTATCGACAAGTCGTTTGAGTGGGAAATTATTATTTGATTGAGACTTAAGTGCAACTAATTGGCAGTGGTTTGACTTTGATTTCAAAATATTATTCATCAATAAATTCATTGGAGTGAAGAAGACAATTGATTTATATGTGCGCAGTATTACTTGCTCGACTGCAAAATGTCCAAGTAAATATTGAATTTAAGCACAACGTTTTCTGTTTAATCCCCATTACATTTTACGTTATTCCGGGCCATAAAGGAACACAAGTGCACGTAATATATTTGCGTCGCGCAATTTCCAAATAAACCATTTACGTTCTGCGTTGGCAAAACCATCAAAAGTAAATGAAGCATAAATGCCAAAAGCACACAAAAATGAAAGAAAAAAAGGAACAAATTTCCCCGAGACTGAGGAATGTATAGGGGCGAAGTGATTTAATTTTTCTGTAATTTTCTTTATGGCTTCTTTTTTTTATTTTGTAAATCTCCAAGCGACAAACAACGAGTGGGTATGCTGCAACTTTTAGAGGGAGAGTAAATAGGTTTTGCGAGGAATTAGAAACACGAAACGCCATTTGGCGGCAAAAATAACCGGAAGGAATTATAGCAGGCCTCGCCTGCCGTCTCTTTCGCTCTGCCCATGCCCCGTCTCTTTCTAAAGGCGGCATCCGCGAGAAGGAAATTAAATGTTTTACTGCGGTGTCTGCGGTGAGAGATGAGAGCAAAATTATAATTTCGTGCAGGCGACAGCAGGAAGAAAATACTTGGAATGAAATCAGCGAAAATGGAAAACATTTTCCCATTCGGGCGGGGTGTGGGTGCTGCATTTTGGTTTTGTCAAATGTTGCCATACACACCAGGCAATGTCCTGCTAAGAGGATCAGCGGCAGAGGCGGATGAGCATTTGGGAAAATGGAGGGCGGGGTGTGAGAAACTGAGCGTCGCAAGCGGGAAAATTATGTTATATGCGAATCGCAAAGCGCCTGGAATTAAATTAAAAAGGAAATGAAATGGCCATTATGCTTAAAGTGATCGGAACCATTAAGAAAAAACGCAATTGGATAGTGCTTAGTGTTTAAAAAAGTGATTTTCGGACAGTTACATTTTTACAGAACCAATATAAGATTTAGCTGTGATATAAGATATTTAGATTTTCAAGTGTTTAATGCTAAGAAATGTTAGGGTCGTAAATAATAGCTATCAGAAAAGCGTTTCCTCTGGAAGAGCTCAGGAAAAATGTTTCAATATATTCAGTTTCCTTATATATTTTACTAATTTAATTTTTTCTTCTCTTTTCTCTTTCCGTTTCCGTGTTACTCTTTCCATGCCACAACAGAAGCATCAACATCAACCGGAAATCAACTAAATTGTCGTCACTCCAATCAAGTGGAAATTTGATTAAAAAAAGGAGAGAAGGAGGCCAAAGGAAAATAACTGAAGGGAGAGCAGAGGAAAATTTGATAAATTCGAAAAAAGGCAATAGACGACTACGAGTGCGGAAGGAAAATAGAGTGCGGGTCTATCAAAAGGTAGCGGCAAAGGAAATCAACACCCACGCACATGAGCGAGTTTGTTGCACGGCAGCGGCCAAACATTAAAAGTCAGCGGAGCGTGAAACTTACACAAAGCTCAAAAAACTCTAGAGTCCCACGTGAACAATGCGAACGAAAAATACATAGCTACACTACAAACAAAAACAGCAATACAGCAGAGTAACGAAGTGAGAGAACAAATTTTAGTGCAAAAAATTAAAAGATTTCACTGGGGAAACAACTAAGCCAGCGCTGGAAGAAAGGCGAACAACAAGGACGAGCCAGCTGACGGCCAGGACACATAAACGTCTTTCCTCTCCTTTGGGCTAGCGCACGAAATTAAGTGCAGATTATCAGAAGATTATATTTTAATAGCATTTCAAGCTGTTTCCTTTGGCCAACAAAGGCGAGGCAGGACCTCCCCGAAAAGGACTCCGTCGGAGGACGCCTGACCCCAGGACGAGTGTGTATGTGTGTGCTACAAGTGCGGCTTATTGCATGATTACCGCCAAGGATTTTTTTCGGGCCTCCGTTTCTGGATGCCGTGCCTGCGAATAGCTGGGCAAACATATAAGCGTGCCAGAAATTGAAATTAAAGATGGAATTAAGTGTCGCGAGTGCGTGTGTGTTGGCTTAACAAATATTGTGTGATAGTGCCTGTGAGTGTTGCTACACTGTATCCCCAATATCGAGCATACGCCGTGTGGCCCAGCCTTGAAAGCGCTGCGGAAATAGCAACAGGTATGTGCACGATTCCATCTTATCTATTCACACACGGGATCTTCAATTAAGTTGTTCGAGCATCTGCAGTATGTCTCATGTTGATTTTCCTAGCTCTGCCTGGATTATTTTTAGAAGGCAATGTTATGCTTGCAGCAGTTCGGAAAGGAGTTTTGTTAGGAATTTAGTGCTAGCCCAGTGCTTTCCACAGTGCTTTCCGCAGTTATGTAAAATATAGTTTTAAAAATGCACTTAACTGCAGGGCAGTGGCATCACCTTTTTGCATTCCTATGTGCCTTACAAAACATTATAAAACATTAAGCCCCCCCTTACAATCCTCCGCAGTGCCTGCAAGTCACTTTCAAGCCCTCTTCGCCATACGCCAAATCCTAAGCCACAACAACTTCGTGGTCTGCAGTCGACTGTTAATTAATGCCAACCGAGTTTCCGCTGCAGCATATTTAAAAACGCATTAGCTCTTTTGGTCGGCTGCTAAAACCGAGGCTGTCATAATTCTAGCCGAGCATTAGGGCGCACAAAGGGCGCGTATATCCTTCTCACACACAAAAGTATGCAGGGGGATATTCTTGTAATTACTTTAAATGCAAACGAACGCCCTGCGCTGCTCCTTCCCTTTTGCTGCCGGATGGAACATTCCCTTTTTTCGGCTGGTGTCCTGGCTGGGCATGTGTTGCTAATTTCATTTTGCTGATAGAGGAGCGGAGTGGCTGGTGGGTGGTGCGTATGGCCACTGCCATTAAGTCGGAGGAGTCACAGAACGAAACTTTCATTCACGTCCGGGGATAAGGGAGATCCTGCCATTTCCACAGCCACCTGACATAACAGGACACTTGCAAAAAGGGAGCTTTTTCGGGAATGGGCTTAACAGGGATCATAGACTGGAAAGCCAGTTATCATGGTTTTTATATTTGATAAGATAAAACAAATGTATCAATTCTTATGTGAGGCTTTTCCTCTCTGAAGATCAGAAGGTAGTATTCTTCTGGAAAATTAGTAGATTACCATGCTATTCCGAGTATCCAATTCCGTAATCAGGAATTTGTAACACCGAAATAATAGCACTAATAATAACACCGAAATAATAGCACTGTGAGCGCTAAGAACTTCCAACCCTTCCTTTTGGTCTTACGTTACGAGATAGGCAGCGCATTTTCGCCCCGTGTAATGGTGATGAGAATGTGGGCCATTGTTGTTTGTTGTTTTAATGTTATTTGCCTGGCTGCCGTCGTCGTCTTTGGAATCTGTCACCGTTTTACGTGACAATACAGCTGCAACTTTGTGTCCTGCGGCCGGCGGGCGGGTGTGTGATGCTGATGTTGTGGGAGTGCGGTGAACCACTGCGGTGGAGCGGTGGTGCGGTGGTGCGGTGGCTCATGAGGTGGGTGGTGGCTACTTGGGCGCTCTGCTGACCCTAGGCCAGCTTGCTGTTGTCGCATTGCGTGGCTGCTTACCTGCGGCCTCACCTGACAAAACTTTAACACAAAAATTTCATTTAAAAGTTTCGCTCTCGCTGCCTTTTGCCTTCATTTGGACCAGCGCCAGATGCTTAAAACTTTTTGTCCCGGGGAATGGAAATGGCAGGGCAAAAGGACCTTTCTTTTATGGCAACTTTAGCAAACGGACATTGAGGTCGTTGTATGACTTTGGGTATTTTCTTCGTCATAAATATCGCCGGCAATTTCTCCTCAGACCTCGGACACTCTATTAGCATTGGCGAGGAAAACTCGCCTCCTGCTGGGAACGTTTTAATGTGCCTTCTTTGAAGTTGGGAAAACTGTTGTGAAAGTCGGCGCTGAAAGTAAAATGTCGGAGCTTGCTTTTGAGATCAAAACTTTGTGATTTACCTGAACTATATTCCGCAAATATTGTAATTAAATCTTGAATTGCGGGTTCCGCATCGTGCGACTTTCAATGTTTTTCCAGCCGTATTCGGATAAATGGGTTTTTCGGTGTACGCCAAATAAACAGATCCCAGTAAATTGTTAAACTGCGTTTTTTACGCGCATCTCAGCTGCAGTTACTACCAATATTTATTTAACATCTGTTGTTTTCCCGTGTTTGTTGTTGCAATTGCCGCTGCGTGACTAATTAAACTGTTTAATGGCGTATATATATTAAAGTCACGATTGGCATTCTCGAACGTTGCGTATTTGTTCACCATGGAAAGGTGAGCAAATATATAAAGCATATGTTTAGCAATTAATGTGGTAAAACACACTTGTTGAATAAATTATTAAACTTAACAATAAAGTAATTTTCCGTCAGGAAGAAAGCTGACCAATTATTTGAAAATGGCAAGCATAAATTGATTGCTCAATTGTTCAAACAAGCACTTGAAAATAAATAACACTAAACATGTTTAAAAGTGTTAGAAGATGTCAAACCTGAGTCGCATCTACGGAAAAAGAAAAAAAACATCATCATATGGTGAACAAGTGTCTTTGTACTCAACATCCAGTCTTCTATGTAATATTTAATAGAGGAAAACTAATCAAACCCAATGAAATCGACTGGGAATTGATAAGGCCTCGGGTGCATTTTTTGTAAAACGACACGCTGTGAAGCAGTCGAACTGAAATCGCTCCCACCCAGTAAAAGGGGATCCCTTAAGGCACTGCCGTCGCTTCATGACGCAGTAAACACTTATTAGACGACACAGGACGAGGACGAGGACAAGGACGAGGACGAGGACGAGGCCCAGGACACAGAACTCCGGACAGAGACCCCGGGCAATGGAGCGTGCTGCTAAGGAGTATTCAACTAATAAAAATGTCAAAACGCATGAAGCTGATGACAAGTAACGCCAAATGACAGCACAGTCGGCAGGAAGAATGGCAGGACTAACGTCCTTCCACAGAGAAAAATTTGGAAAATCTTAGAATTTCAATACATAGAAAACCTTTGGAAACTACCTAGTTATCGCTTAGCTTCGGCCTCATGTCGTTAAAAGAGCCCTAGCTTGAGTTTTTTCTCTTAGTGGATTGCCGCTTTTAGAAAGAGAACAACTTGAATTCATGGCTTGTCGCATGCGGGCTTCGATGTTCCAGTGCGGGCAGCAATTTGCCACACCTGCTGGAAGTGTGTGTGTGTGGCAGCTTTTCCGAGACCTTCCCATACGGTTTTCCACCCGCAATCCCAGGTTTTCCCCAGCTAAACTTTCACAATTAAAACTTGGCACTTTCCCTTGCCTGCTGCGCACGCACGATTCGCATTCTAGCAACGCAACGCAACGCATCAATTCGGTCTGTTCCCCCGCTGTTTATTTATTGGATTAAGTAGATTTATCATATTAGATGGCAAACGCTGTCTAAATTTATCCACAGCCAAACTGCCTTCCCCATTGCAAAAACACATATCAAGCGCCGCGACTTCTCGTTTTTAATTACGCTTTTTTTCCGCCGAGATCACGTACAAAATAAAAAAAAAAACAGGAAGAAATGCGTTAGCTGGCAAAAGTTTTCTTTGCTACGTGTCCTGCCAACAGGCATTTTCAATAAATTTTCCTATGCTCGTGGAATTAATAAAAACACAGAAAACTTTTGCACTTGGCCTAGCTTCAGAAGGTCAAAGCGCAGATTAAACGATTGCAGTACGTTGAACAGGCTTTAAACTTTTGTACGGAAAATATTAACAGATATTCAGCCTTATTGTAGATAGAGCTGTATCAAGTGAACCCATTTTTCTTTGTTCCTAATTAATTTGATCATCCTAAATAGTTCATGCCACATTTCCGATTGATTCCCTTTTGACCCAGGGTTCATTCTTGCTTTTCGGTAAATGAGGTACTAATTTCACTGAGCAACTATATGTATATTACGGAATATTTACAGATATTCAGACTTATTGTAGATAGAGCTGTATCAAGTGAACCCATTTTTCTTTGTTCCAAATTCATTTGATCATCCTAAATAGTTCATGCCACATTTCCGATTGATTCCCTTTTGACCCAAGGTTCATTCTTGCTTTTCGGTAAATGAGATACTAATTTCAGTGAGCAACTATATGTCATTCGCTCGCTTTCATGTGACGCGGTCCCACGACATCAAACACAACGAACACGCGGCGTATGCGTCACATTAAGTATACGCCCACGTGACACACGCTCCGTGTGCTGGCCCCAATTTCTCTATCGAGCTCCCGGATACGCTGTTATTTAAACACAACAATTAAAACGATTTTCCGA